TTCTTTCTCTTGCTTTCTGCAAATCTCTCTTTGAATCTGTTCGATCTATAATCAAACATGGTATCAGAGGTCACAAATCTCTGATTTGTGACTGATTTTCGCTTCCGCACCTCAAATCTCTATCGATCTGCCCCTCTTTTATAGATCTGTTCTCACAAACCCTAATTTCGCGATTTTTTTTCGATCCGATCTCAATTTCTATGGCTACTACTGTGAATCTCACTGATGACATCTCGTCGCCGTATTACCTACACGCCAGTGACAATCCCGGCGCTCTCATAGTCGCCGAGCTTTTCACCGGCGACAACTATGTCTCCTGGAGCCGCGCAATCCAAATGGCCCTCAGTGTCAAGAACAAAGCAGGTTTCGTCGATGGCTCTATCTCTCCTCCTTCATCGACTGGTAATCCCTCTCTATATTTGTCTTGGATGCGGGCAAACAATCTTGTATTGTCGTGGCTGTTAAACTCTATTGCAAAAGACTTTCGCCAATCTCTGTTGTTTTTTACTACTGCAAAGGAAGTCTGGGATGAGATTAAGACACGATACGCTTTAAGTTCTGGCCCTAGGGTTTTCCAATTAGAAAAATCTCTTAATACCATTGATCAAGGTTTTATGTCTGTCACTCAATACTACAACATGTTCAAATCACTATGGGATGAGTATATCACATACAGACCACTTTTTAAATGCACATGTGGTGCTCTTGTTCACTGTACTTGTAATCTGTATGATGCTATATCTGCTGCTCAGCAATTTGATTCTGTAATGAAATGTTTGGTTGGGCTGAATGACTCATACTCCTCCCTTCGTAGCCATTTCCTTTTATCCACACCATTACCCTCTCTTTCGACTGTATACTCTCTTCTACTTCAAGAGGAAAGCCAACGAGCCTTGACCAATACAGCAAAACCCTTTGAACCTCTAGCCATGGCTGTCAAAACAAACACTACTCCTCACACCTTCAAGGCCAACAAACTACCATATCCTAAAGATTCCAGGCAATCCACTAACAGGCCCAAATGCTCTCATTGTGGCAGTGATTAAAATAGCGCGAGGCGAGCCGAGGCGA